TGGTCTTTTAAGATGGAAATGTACTAGAGGAGAGAGTCGCTGTGGCAGTATGTTGAAAATCCTCCTGATGATGAGGGATGCACAAATGATGATAAAGCAAGAGTCACAATAATATTGTGCTTGGAAGATTTGCAACTGACATGGTTTGTGCAGTTACTTAAAGATGCAAACATACAAATTGATTTACTGATTGATTGATTTGCAAACATACAAATTGATTTATGTTAGAGTGCATAATGGCAGCACCACTTACATTCAGTTGGCAACTGAGAGTCAAATGAAGAGTAGAAGCAAGCATATTTGCATAAAGTATTGCAATGTAAAGAGTGCTATGGATCAGAAGTGTCTCGGTCATGTGCAGCCAGTAGAGCACCGCCAGTGAAGACTTGCTGCCCGCGCCCAGGCTGCTGCCACTGCCTCCTCCACTGCCTGGTGGGGCAGCGCTCAGTCCTTGGCCCCATGGGTGCGGCTCCCCTTCTCCACCGGCAGGCAGCTCCTGGGCGGCCATTGAAGAGCAGCAGGTGGCTTCAAGTTCCATGATGCAGCAGGCAAGTAGAATAATGTGTACAAAACTAAATGATACTAATTACATGCCCTGGTCTTTTAAGATGGAAATGTACTAGAGGAGAGAGTCGCTGTGGCAGTATGTTGAAAATCCTCCTGATGATGAGGGATGCACAAATGATGATAAAGCAAGAGTCACAATAATATTGTGCTTGGAAGATTTGCAACTGACATGGTTTGTGCAGTTACTTAAAGATGCAAACATACAAATTGATTTACTGATTGATTGATTTGCAAACATACAAATTGATTTATGTTAGAGTGCATAATGGCAGCACCACTTACATTCAGTTGGCAACTGAGAGTCAAATGAAGAGTAGAAGCAAGCATATTTGCATAAAGTATTGCAATGTAAAGAGTGCTGTGGATCAGAAGTGTCTCGGTCATGTGCGGCCAGTCGAGCACCGCCGGCGAAGACTTGCTGCCCATGCCCAGGCTGCTGCCACTGCCTCCTCCACCGCCTGATGGGGCAGCGCTCAGTCCTTGGCCCTGTGGGTGTGGCTCCCCTTCTCCACCGGCAGGCCATTGAAGAGCAGCAGGTGGCTTGCCCACTGCGGGGTGCCCGATGCCGCCTCCCGCTCCAGCACTGGCACCGGCTCCGGTGGCTGCTCGCCGGTGCGGCCACGTTGGGCCTTGGTGTTGGGGCTCCCGCGGGCCAAGTTGAAACTCCCACAGGCACAGTTGAAATGTCATAACAGCTGCCGCACGGAGGGTGAGAGGCTCTGCCAGGGTTGGCCAGCAGGCACAGAGGTGCCGCTGAAGGAAGCCGCGTGGCTGGGCTAGCACTGCTGCTGCCTGATGGACTCCTCAGGGACAAGGATGGAGCATACAGCGGTGGTGGCCCAGTGGCAGTAGGCTGAGCCTGGCCCGGGCCGCTGTCATGGCCGTGCCTGCTTCCATCTGCTGCGATCCATCTCTCCAGGCACTGGAAGGAGAGGCTTCTCCTGGCCGGGGTGCTCTGGCCACTCACCCCGGCCTTTCCCTCTGTCATGGCCGGCCCTGCCGCCGCCACCTCAGCTACCCTACACCAGTGGTTCTTAACGTGGGCAATAATGCCCCCCAGGGGGCGATTTCATTTTTCAGGGGGGCGGTAGAATGAAAAGGGGCGGTGTGGGGGCGAAAGAACAGAAGGAGGCGGTAGGGGGGCGCTGGAGTGAGCCAAACCTGTGTAG